TAGCTAGACCATCTCAATCAACAGCCCTCACCGGTTTCCAACGCCGATGACTGTATCAGATTTTCCGACACCGATACGCCTTCCGAAATAGGCCCCAGAGGGCTTGTTGCTGATCTCACGGTAAGGATTGACGCACTTCCGGCATCCACATCGCTTTGTTGTACCTGCGCGGAAGCGAGGGGGCGTCGGGGTTTCATCTCACTTGATGGGTCCCCATCGCCACACCATTCTGCTACAGACACACCTTGGCGTCTGCATGCGTGCTCCGACAGAAGAGTGTCGTGGAACGTGCCCGTGCCAGAGGCAGCTCTCCGATATCATCATGCCCTGGCTACATTACGTACGAAGTGCGTGTCTCGATGAAAGCCGTGGTATGCGTCGGGGCCACCAAGGTGACAACCGTGGCTCACACAGGCGTGACGGCATGCCATGAATGCGACTGTAAGGTTGACGGTTTCATCAGCGCACCTCATAGACGGCTTGACAGCTCACTACGCCGTTCGGCCCAAGCTCCAGGTTGTCGAGGCTAGGGTCGCACTGCAGCGCCGCGGCAGAGTTTCCGCTGGTACCGTTGGGACAAAAGACATCACGGGTCAGCATCGATCTATCAAGACATTGCACTCCAAGTTCATCCGGGATAGTCGTCCACACAAGCTGTGGTGAAATCAAGCAACCAAACCGACACTCTACGTGTCCCGCACCTTTGAACCTGAGCCACCAAGTCAGCGCTGGAGACATCAATTGATGTCAGGGTGGTTGTACCAGTGTTGCTGAGGTCGATCGTGTACGCGATATGGTCACCGGCGGAGTGGCCGGTGTCGCCCGTGTCTGGCATCGTGCACGCAGCCGTGGCGGATAGAATCCCGGTTCTGTGTAGAGTCTCGGTCACCGTGGAGGAGTTTACGATGAACCCTCCAGACGCCGGTTCACCTCTCAGGCTGCGAGGGTGCAAGAATGGATGATTGGAAGATCCGAGGAAAGCAAAGAAACGATACGTCAGTCCGAACTCGGTCGCATACACCTCGGTAGACATGAACCGTCTTCGTTCTATCTGACATGACAATCCCTAGCCTCCTCCACGAGCGCACTCACCTCGTAGTACTGCTGACGGAGCCAACGTCGATGTCGGCTTGGCTCAGCGTGTACGTGGCGGTACACACGAATGACGTGTCGACCAGCCAGGGGCTGGGAATGTCGCCGCCGCAGTCAAGGTTGTAGCCACCTGGCAAGGGAATGGCGGCACGGTGGTCATTGGTTGTACCAGGGACCATCACTCGGGGACAGCGAGAATCACCTACGCTACACGAACGGATGTGAAGCTCTTGGAAGTTTTCCTTGGCATGGCTCACGAACGACCCTCGAAACACTCACCGGCATCGTTCTTGAACAGCTCGTTGGACACCACGGTATTGTCAATGTCCACGTTCCCGCCATTGGTCATAGCGACTTCAAACTCGATGGATTCTCCCACTCCAGCCAGGGCCGTGTCAAGGTCGATGGCAACATAGGTCAACCGACTGACCATGTCAATATCGGCCACCTAATGGACCCCACGATCACACCACACGGTTGGGCACACTTTGTTTAGACCATAGGCTGGCTGTCTAGGAGACACGAGGCTTGGCTTCAAGCGGGTTGATAAGCACACAGGAGCGGTACAACTTCGACATCACAGGATGGATGAGCAGGATGGGGGGACAAAATATTCGACTCCCCAGTATATGCAGTCACCTACCCGGACGCCCCACATGTTGCAGCTACGCAGAACGGACCACAACAACAGCGACGAGGGATGCCGATAGTGCCCAACACGTTCTCGCGATGTCCCACGAACGCTGCCCCACCTGTGAGAGAGAGCTCACGTACCTGGTTCAGGTTGATCGTCGACGCGGCGGGCTCACTCTTGATGGCATCGCTCTCCAGGTGGTCGGCGGTATCCTCGTGGTAAGCGAATGCCGTTACAGTATCCTTCTTCACTCCAGCGTTGATCTGCATTCGGTGTGTGCGCGCAAGCCGTGTCAGACCAGAATGGCCACAACAAACCAAGAGACGAAGGAAAAGACAATCGCTAAGGCATCAAGCAATAGGTTTTTCAGCAATACCAAACTTCGTCGACACCCTATATCGCGAGGTCATGCACCGACGTGGCTATTCCTTAAGGGTGTGGTACATCACCTCTGCCTGAGACACTCTGCCCGTGGCACTGCATATGAGAGACCCGGCGGGAGCTAAGCCATCGCTGGGATAGCCGGCGAGATCCTCGACTCTCCCGGGGCTCGACCCAGACACACTATCGCCGTCGGTGTTGACGCAGACAATATCCACTAGACCCTCCGCCTGGACCGCGATGTTGTATAGAGTCAGCAGGCCGTTGTTCTCGATGGTGTAGACGTACTTGACCTCGTCGGCTGTGGTGGCGTTCTTGTCCTTGTTGGCGTAGGTCGATTCGAGACGGAGTTGGACAGAGCCGACCTGACGAAGATGGCCGAAGAGCGCACAGTACCGGGATGCATGGAACACGTGCGGGATCACGGTTGAGTTACGTTGAGTGGGCGGCCTGCAACGTACCGCACGACCACAGCTCACGACAGGGAAATCAACCAGCCATCCGAGCGAAGTGTCCGCACATGCTGCTTCCTGTCGTGACCTCGAGCAATATATTCACGCTGCTGTAACGAGAGGCTAGGCCATACATGTACGTGCGTGTGCACGTCGACGAAAACAAACCGTCGAACGCCACCGAAGCATCACCTGGTCCAGCCCCACGGTCACTGTTCTCTCATCCTGTATCTCCCTCATGTACCCGTCCACCGCCGTCACGAATGCCGAGCTGTCCCGCTCAAGGTTGTTCACATCGGCGGCCGTGACCGCATGAAATCCGGTGCACGTCACCTCGGCGTCCAAGGCCAGCGAAGACGCCAATACCACGCTGTCTCCTTCAACGGCGTAGGCCTCGGTACAGACCAGGGTCGACTGACCGCCTGCCATGGAACGGAATGGCACCACGCAGGTGTGTTGCACCGGACCGAGCCCCGAGGTTTTTGCGGGACGGATAGGCCTGACGGAGTTGACATGCATCGTGATGGCAGCGAGGAGAGTCTGCCTAGAGCGAGGATAGGATACTCTTGTGACCGCGCATGACAGCAACCAGAGGAGCCGCCACTGCCATGGGTGTAGGGACGAACGCCATACCGTGGAGATGAAGGATGTCACACAACAATCAAAAAGTGCCTTCCTCAACACAGCAACGGGACACTGGTTACCTGAGACCAGCGATGGATCGCGGACAGTGACGTCGTTCAGCACGGCGTGCCCGTTGTTCGTGATTGCCAGAGTATACCTGGCGTAGCGGAGGAATGAACGACCACCACAGACACAGCATCGAGCGTGATTGGTGTTCATGAATGTTCGTCATCGACGAATGTCGGCCACCTTGACAACTCGACAATGCCCGTTTCCTCACATACTCCAACTTCATCTGCGATGTCAACTCCCAGATTCCGACCGCCCCGGATCCTAAATTGCCACCAATAATGACGCGGGTCTCACTTGATGGTTTCGCCGACCGCAGCATAGCCATCTTGAGGCTCCGACGCCGAATCATCCATGAACAACCCAGTCATGGCTTCAGGTGTTGAAACGCAGAACATCGAGAGGCCGAAGACAGTTAGAGGCATCAAGGGCAGCAAACCATACGCCATGCGTCAAGAGATCCGTAGGACCATGTCAGCGCGTCGAGCATGCAGACGGTCCGACATGTGTCCATGTAGTGTTTGATATACCAAATATTACGCTATCGTGAACATCGGTCATTCTATGGCAGTCAACATCGAGCCAATCATGACCGAACGTCCCCGACTGGTACCTAGCGAGATGGACGGCGGAGGCTTGAGCTCCACTTCGATATCTTCTGAGTCGGTGGCAGGCTCGGTGGTACCAGGGGCCGTCGCGGTGACCCTGTCGGCGGTTGCATACGGCGAACGCCCGGCACACAACCGATGCGATCCAGGTCAGCACACACTGGAATGATGACAACGCCGCCGAAGGTATCGACCTTGCCGACTCGTTTCCATTCATCGTGCCTTCCGAGTATCCTACCGGCGAAGTCGTTTCACATGACCACGCCCCAACCGCACACTTGGCAGGCCGACCATGTCGAAGGCCATTGGTTCAGTCTGGGCGACATGAAGGGCGGGGTATACTTACTGTTGGTTTCCTGTATGAAACCTCTACTGTCTCGAGGTTTTCGCCAACGTGCCTCTGCACACATATGACCCGCCTTCTACTTTGACTAAACCCAGCCCCATCGACGCCACACGAGATCGACTCACGTAGCGCTGGTCAGCTTCGAGCCACTGTTGATGTCCGCCCACGTCAATGAGTAGCTCCCTGTGCATGTGTATTGTACCCCTGCTCCAAGCCCGGCAACCACGCCACAGTCGTCTTCTATCGTCGCGTCCCACACAGTGATCCCCGTCAGATCAACGTTTCCGATGTTCCGCACCTATTCCGAGGTACGTTGTGTGGTGGCGGGAAACAACGAGGATTCTAAGCAGCTGCACGCGAGAAATCAACGACCGAGAAATCATTCTGCGGAGAATATCTTCCGAGGGTCACAGTGCTCCTAATACACCGTGGGGGTATCGTTGTCTGAAGTCTACATCGACGGCTGGTACAGCAGATATTCACGAGACTGGCAGCCCCGATCACGCCCAGACGATTCACTCCACCCTGCCTCTCATCGCTTTCACCGACGCCAATGGTTAGCCTGTGTCATCAACCACCCCCCTTACCGTGAAAACGTAGCTGATGATCTCCGACTGATCCGAGTAGTCGACCGTAGGCGTGTTAGGTTGGTCCTCCCATGTACCCTGACCGACTGTTCATTCCAGTGCAGCGAACGCCGAAATTGGCGAGCAAGTCATTTGTTTGCATGCGGGAGATGCACAAGAATGTGGGACTGAACAACCCACACTCAGACGATCAAGCGTAAGGCTCGAACAATGCATACCAGTCGACGATTGGTTCCAAAAGCTCTTGACGTCTTCGGACTCACGACGTGCACCGTCATCGCACGCACCTCATGCACCAAGCTTTTGTCTATCCAGTGTTCTGAGGCAACACACGGAATCATTTCTGAAATGACCTGTGTCCACTCGCGATGCCAACGTACTCGTGTACTTTGCTTGTGCACGATCTCAGGCACACGGCACCGACAACGAAGCAGTTGCCAATCGTATCTCACCTATCTCGATGAATGGGTTTTGCGCCAGCGGTTGTGACCACGTGCTACTTTGGTCGTCGGGTGTTCCAACCGCGGCCGTGGATGTGACCGACGCGGTGTTGGAGACGGTCCCAGCATTGATATCTGCTTGTGTGATCTGCGGTTAGGAACATACACACGGGTGTGACAGGACATCAACAAGGGCAAGTCGAAGGAATATGTGAGAGGCTTGTGGGACCTTCAAGTTTCGTGTACGACACACAGCTCGGTGTGATTCGTGACAAAGCTTCTGCAGCACCCCTTGGGACGATGGACGGACTCACGACACACCTGCACTCTTGCATGATCGACCTTCCTTGGTTCAGTCACCGGCACTTCGAAACGCGCACCGATCACACCCCCAAATAAATGTTGTTGACACGCTACGCCAAATATCCAATATTCTTTACCGTACCACAGCCAGAACACAAGACACAAAGATTAACACGCTGGCGTACATGGGCCCTCTTAGTAGTAGTAGCGAGACCAGGCACATGTGCGCACGATTAAACATGTTTGGCGAGTCAGCCGGGTGCTGGCTAGGCTACTCACATGGATCAACCGCGCACATATGCA